TGCTAGCCCCCGACTTCAACAACCACACACTCTGCACGCAGCCTCCTGCCTAAAGTAACACCGCTAACCCCACATTCTCACACAGCTTTCATACCACCCTCTCCTGGCATATGTACCGGCATGGTCGGCACCCAATCTTCATTTTGCCTGATGATGATTGCGAGAGCATGAAACTTGAAGTAGCAGCAAACAAGCCTTGATTGCCCTTGTTGGTCTGTTCTGTATTTGACTGCTTGAAACATTAGAACATTAGAACATTAGAACATTAGAACATTAGAACAGTAACACATGTACATCACCCATGCTGGTATACTACCCTTTCTCTCTTTCTTTGATTTCAGGATTACTGGCAAGCTGGTCCGTGTAGGATTTCTTGGACTTCTTGTCCTTTTCAGTGCGAAGACATTCGTCCGTAATTACCAGTGGTGAGTGGAGACTGGAGAGCAGTAGATGTGTATGTGTGTACTGGGCATGCACTGAGCATGTACTGAGCATGTATTGAGTATGTACTGAGCATGTACTGGGCATGTACTGGGCATGTATTGAGCATGTACTGGGCATGTACTGAACATGTACTGAACATGTACTGGGCATGTACTGAGCATGTACTGAGCATGTACTGAGCATGTACTGAGCATGTACTGGGCATGTACTGGGCATGTACTGGGCATGTACTGAGCATGTACTGAGCATGTACTGAGCATGTACTGAGCATGTATTGAGTATGTATTGAGTACTGTGTAGTAGTGCCTGACACCCTGCTTCTTCCTTTTCATTTGGAGGTGCTGTGCTCTTTGTGGTTCGATTGTCGTTCTCACATTTGGTTGAGCTGCAAAAATGATATTGTGTTCGGTACATTCATTTGCATGGCTGCTTTGCGCACTTAAAGCGCAGCAACAAGTCCCATAGTTTTCTGCATATGAACCGTGCAAAAAACAATGCATGCTCATGCTTAATCTGTCATCTGGCCAGGTCGCCCAAAAACTTCTTCCATAAGGGAAGGCCAACACGGTGTTCGCGATTTTAAATTTCTACTCTGCATAAAAAACTTTAAAAAAAGAAAAGAAAAAGCATTACAAACAGCAAAACATTTCGCCTAGCGGTCACGCTTGGCCACACTTTAAACAGAAGTTACTTGAGCAATTTCAACGTAATAATGCTATCCTTCTGTACGCATACATTGGGTTTATACAGACGCTGATAAATGGCTTCCAACACTTCTAACTGTAAACCACATCCATGACGACCACGGCACAATACAGTGAAACAAGAATCAGAATACTAATTGTAACAATCAAGACTAGCCACAAGATGGCTGTACACTGAAGATTTCCTACTACCAAACTTGCGTACAGCACAATGACGTGGCCGGCCATGCGAAACGACGACAACAACATCACTACCGCAACAAGTACCTTTCGTGTCACCAGCTACCACACCAACAGCAACAACGGAGATCACAACAACCACAACTAACCAACCATGCAATGCAACCATTAACAGACCAAGACGATCAACAGCCAACTACAACAGATGTTACACATCGAGTACACGAGGGCGAGTCATTGAGGGACCAGACAACATGTCGTCGGCTAAGTCAAGCGAGGTGGAGCAGTCCGGGACGGACGGAGTAAACATGGAATCAGCAGAGGATGTGAATGATGGAGTGGATGGTGATGAATCCAGTGAGGAGTCGGGGAGCAAGAAGGAGAATGGTCAGGAGAGTGGCGGTGAGAGTCATTGTGCTGTACGCAAGTTTCATAGTAGAAAGAATTCTTTCCAGGAGTAGAAACTTAGAAAAATATCATTCTTTTTACTTGATGTTTTTCTTCACCTGACTGTACTTTTCTCCATGTATAGGGATAGTGATTTCACCATCTTCTCTGCGGCGTTGAGAGTAACTCAAAGCAATGCGAAGGTGTACAGCAACATAGGTCACTATTATCAGGTAGGGTGAAAATAATGAATCATAGGTCACCGTTATGGAGTTGAGTAAATATGGTGACTGACGCCGCCGCCGCTGCTGCTCTTGTTGTACAGTAAAACCGGGTGTAAGCGACCTCTGTGTTTAGCGACCACCTGCTCTTAACGACCGTTTTTCCATGCACCGACATGCGTTCTACACAGACACTGTGGGACCTGGTTCTAAAGACCACCTGGCTTTAACGACCACTTTTGCTTGCACCGTGGGGTGGTCACTTAAACCAGGTTTTGCTGTACATGTACTTTCAAGTTTAAAAAGAAACTTAAAGTGGCCCGGGGCTTGGTTTGGTGCTGGGTGCATTGTCTGTCTGCCCATAGCTTTGTTCCCTATCCCTGTGCACTCTACACTACATACGAGTCGTACAGTGTATGGTGCACACCTCACTCTACACCATGTGCAGTGTGTAGTGCACACCTCACTCTACACCATGTGCAGTGTGTGGTGACATGTGTGTGGTGACATGTGTGTGGTGACATGTGTGTGGTGACATGAATTATAAACTGTACTCATGATGTTATTCCACTTTCCTGTGCATGTGGTGCTGCTGCTACTGCTGCTGCTGCAGTACTATTCTCACCAATCATGTAATTTATAGACCTTATTCGATAAACGTCACAATCACGTGAACCAGGGTCCCGGGAACCAGTGAGTGGCAAGAGACCTGCACTCAGTGCACAGTGGACTCGGCGTGGGAACATAGGAGCAGAAAATAGTTAAAATACCGGTATTTCACTACTCCCTTGTACAAACTGGGCCTTTCTTGCCACTTTCTTGCCACTCGTTTCACGTACACGTGCCCCAGCTTACGACAAATCCCTGGAGGCGAGTCCGAAAATCACGTTATCGAATAAGGTCTATAAGTGGAAATTTTAGCCAGTGAATTTTCCAACTCCAAAGAAAGGCAGTTTGTATGGTTGAAAATCTCATCCGCGGGTGTTGAAACGTGCTAGAAGACTGGTGAAATCGACTTTTAGTTCTGCATTTAATTTTGGTCTGAAAAGCTCCTGGGACGAAAGTGACGGAATTCAATTTCCGCCGAATCTTTCTGCTTGTCCGGTATACTTACTGGCATTCTCTTTTCTTCTTCTTTGTGTTTAGTATACTTACTGGCATTCTCTGTTCTTCTTCTTTGTGTTTAGTTTCGCCAGCAACCAGAGTTAGCAGACAAGTACTTTTCGCAGAGTGTAATGTAGGTTGTGTGGATTTTAACTGCTGTTGTAAATTTGTGACATAGGAGAGAATAGAGACTGTTTGTATTCCACAACGGACACTGTACAAGAGATTCGTTCTGAAACATAATTATTGTTCCTGTCAACATGGCTGGTGAACGAGCGGCATGGCTGAAGGCACTGGAGGCAGTAGTAATAATTATTCAGTCTGCGACGAGGTGCGGAAAGTTGGTACGGACAAACCTGGTGCCGTAAAAAACCTGTTTAATCCTTATCCGACTGTCAAAGTGGACACATTCTCAGTCCAAGCGAGACGCCGCGACTCATTTTTTTTGTTGATAACTTTAGTTTCCCTTGGGAGATATTGGCAAACCTGGGCTTTTTGGAAAGCTTGAGCCATGAGGAATTCTGTACAAACAGTTTCTAGCTTTCGTTTGTAAGAGGAACAAAACTCCATCTCCAATTCCATTTTTGAAGAGAAGTACGGCTCATCGACATGTGGACTATTTGTAGTCTTAATTTTGTACTTTCATGCTAACACATTTTGAATATACCATCAGGAAAGCATCCAGGCAAAGTTTTGGGAGGGCAATGTAATCATGGCCAAAGTTACACCATTTGAAAACTTGTTTTGTATGCGGTGCGAAACCAGACCTCGCTCAGAGACTTATAACTTCTCTTTGAAAGATGCTAAGACGCTCCGGTCTTTTGCAAATGAATGGTGGGTCTTTCCAGCATCTTTTGAGACCAAAATGATTCGATCAAGACTAAGTGAGTTACAGCTTGTTAAAGTCATCGACGGATAGTCGTCGATTTTTGACTGGCCGGTCGGATAAGGGTTAAAAAAACTGACCATCTTTGTAGTTGGCCAAACCAGGGCTAACTGACCAAACCAGGGGCAGGGCTAGGTGGGCAAACCAGGGCTATTTGACCAAACCAGGGCTAGGTGGCCAAGCCAGGGCTAACTGACCAAAGCAAGGCTAGGTGGCCAAACCAGGGCTAATTGACCAAACCAGGGCTAGGTGGCCAAACCAGGGCTAATTGAACATACCAGGGCTAAGTGGCCAAGCCAGGGCTAACTTGTGACGATTAGTGGATATCGGACGGATAATATGATACACCAGAGAGTCAAGAGACAATAGTTACTTCTACGTTGTGTTTTAGTTCCAAACCATAATTCAAGAGCGTCCTAAAAACGGTTACTGAATTCCAACTACCAGTGGAAAGACCCGTCCTTTTCTCCAAGGACAAACAGCAAAAGGCACCAGCCAGCCAGAAAAGTATACGGGAAATCAAATGTGGAATACTACCGTACTGCGCAGTAGAGCGCAGAAGAACCGCGCGCGCGGGTACGTGACGTAAATGAAGTGTGAGCAGGACTAAAGTACGATTTATGCTACAGTTCAAGCTGACGGAACACGTGCAGTGCTACACCGTAGCCGTGTACCACGTGGAAGCAAACAGAAGTAGAGGAGACACGGGATAGCAGACATGAACTCAGGGTCAAACTGATAAGCGTGTAACGTGAATGCATGCAGTATATGGAGACCAGAGAAAGACACAGAGCTCAGTGCGTACCGAGTACTACACACTAAACTCGTACACTTGAATGTCACGACATAACTGACCAAACCAGGGCTAGGTGGCCAAGCCAAGGCAGGATGTGCTACGTGCCTCTACACAGCTGGGAGATAAAGTTCTGTTTGTTAGAAATTAAATTACAGTGGGGTTGAGCAATACAGGCAAACAGAATTTCACAAACATTTCTCCAAGTAGGACCCTCCCCCCCCCCCCCCTCCCCCTTCTTCTCTTACTTAATTAATTCTTAAGTTATTATGGTTGTGTTGCTGGTGTTTGGTGCTTACCTGTTTTAGTGTTCAGCCCAATGACGTTGGTGCATGGATGAATGTAGCAGAGAACAGCCTAGTCTTAAAAGACCGGAAGCGTTGTATTGAGGTATGTGCTGGTTGGCTACTCATCCGCTCAATCATTGGAGGCCGTGTTTGCCTGTGCCTGTATTTTGCCGTTGTCAGCAGGCTAGAATGTGCTGGCAAGAACCCTAGACAAAGATTCGCCAGCAAATCTCTTATGTTTGTAGTTACTTGATGAACATTACCGTAATGTTGATGTGATGCAGTGTCGTAGTTGAAGATTGCGCAAGGACTGCTAGCAGTCTGATGTGGAATCTGAGTTGCACAAGGAGTGGAGGCAGAGAATGTGACAGTGCGGTTGGCCTAATTCGCTCCTAAAAATCATAGCAATTCTAATTTAATTTTTCCAACTCCGGTGCCGTATTGCTCAACTCCAGACCTCCGTTGGCCTGCTTCGGAGCTCTTGACTCATGTGACAGTGTGGGACGGTATGAGTCTATCCACAGACATTACTGACAACTGTGTGGGAACACATTGTCGTATTCTCTACCTCCACTCCTCGTATAACTCAGATTCCACATCAGACTGCAAGCAGTCCTTACGGAATCTTCAATTACACTTCGGAGTTTCGGCTTGGAATGTGACAATGTGATGTTCAAAGTGATATACCCAGAGCACAAGCCTGAAGGAACCCAACCTGCTTTGGCCAGTATGAGTAGGTAACCCGTGTCCAAGCATACTTACAACAACTAATGAGTCTACCAGTACACTACCATACTACCATGTTATTAGCATTAAACTATACAGGACGCGGTTGAAATACAGAATAGGTCTCACCGGGAGATTTTGCTACAGACCAAAGCAGAGGAGAGCGCGGCAACCGAGTCAAAAATCTGCAGAGCAAATATTGTAGGACAGCCACGGTGAGTCAGGGAGAGAGCTACAGTGAACTTGGTCATGATTGATGAGCGCCATGACAGGCCTTGTCATTGCCAGACGAGAGGACAGCATCTGTGAACAGCTGTGAATTTGGACGATAGTAGTGCTCATTGAAGGTATGCTGACCACTTCAATCAGCTGTGACAAAGTAGTACGGAAAGTACCTGAGCCATAGTGACGCCAGCAACAATAGCTGCTGTTGTGGAAGCACCACGGGTTGAATGAGTTGTATACGTGCTTGAGAGGCCGGCTGCCTTGAGCGCATTCTTAAGCCAGCGAGCGTAGCAAAGCTAGCAACTTCATGAGAAGGGCGAGTTGACACAAAGAGCCCAGTATCGGCAGCAGGCCGCAAAGAAACGGTGCGGGACAAATTCTTATCAAGACAGACCACTGGACAGAGTGTAGATGCTTGTGCAAGCCGAGGCAGCGCAAACTCTTTCGGTGCAGAGCCTACCCCTTGGGTCTTGGTGGGGCGTGTCAAGGTAAACTGCACGCCGTCTGGCTTCCGACGCATACTCTGTACGGGGAGTGTGTGTGTAAAGGGCATCGTTCAGTTAGACAATGATCTGCTGCTTGTCTGTTAGCTGGTTCTTGACAAACTGCTGGACCTCGATTGTGCTAGCGGCACTGCCTTTGTTGCATCTTACATCTTGCCTAGCAAATAACGTAGTGTTGAGAGGCTGGTAGTGCTCTTGTTAAGCATTTGACGACTATCCTTGCTGATACCCTCGTGCTTCTGATCCAGAAGATGAAGCTGCACGGACAGTGAATTGACTGTTATATGTAAGAACTCCGGAGAAGATACTGATGTCAGTATCGATTTGCCCCTCAAGATGAGATAACGAAGCCTGCTCCAACAGGAACACCACCGTTCACAGATTGCTTGGCTGCCTCCGCGGTGGGAGCTATGCACAACCAGTCGTCGAGATACACCACCAGAAGGACTCACAGAGATCTGAGGAACGTTGCAACAGGTGTCAGGATCTTGGTGAAAGTGCAGGGGGTGGGGGCATCTGAGAGCCCAAACAGCGAGCTTTGGTGTATTGAGATGGCTCTCTGCACCAGCGAAAAGGAGCCACCTTCGGCTGTACGGATGGATGTGGACAGAATGGAATGCGTCCTTGAGGTCCAGTCTGCACATAAAGTAACCTTATGAAGTACTATAACTTTATCTTCAGAGTTCTAGCCAGGAAAAAAATGGTAGGGGCGACGAACAGTTCACCCATATTTTTTGCCTATCTAGTTCTTCACCAAATCATCAATCTTGGGGGCAATCAACGCTTCTGTGGCAGTACGCAGGTCCTTTGTGAGCATAGTTCTACACTCTTCGTCTGTCAGGGCACGATGGAAATAGGTTTTGATATACGTGTATACGTATGTGATAACAAACTGAGCACGTACTTGGCGAGGCCAAATAAATCGCAGCGTACCCAGACCCTTTTGGGCCCGAGCTGCGTAGAGATCGCGTGGTCAGGTGCACTGTGGTGCCATGGAAACAAAGATGGTGGCGCATGGAGCGTGTCTACCACGAGGTAGAAAGAAAGGAAAATAAATAAATAAATAAACTGCAGAACGAAAGTGAACGCGAAGAAGAAATAAATTTGAGAGTCTTTAGCGAGATAAGAATGTAGTTTGCATCTGGCGGAGGGTGCTTCCACCTAGCTAGAGGTGAGAGCAGCACTGTCAGATGATGGAAAGACTGAGTTAGAAAAGGAGAAAGGCTACGGAGTTGTAGACTGAAACTACAGGAATTTCAAGTAAGACGTGAACACTAAATTTATATGCATATTAAATATTCGTGAACGGCAGTTCTCAAAAGCGTGAGATACTTGCCGGATGTGTCCACGTTGGCGCACGCATCAAATGCCTGAGGCTTAGTCAAGGGAAGATCTTGCTGATCTTCACTGACTTCAAAAGGCTCCAATGCCTGAGTCGTAAGCCCGGCGCGAAGGAGAAGATCTCACTGACCCTTAGAAGCCAGAGAAAGAGCAGACACCCAGAGTGACTCGGAACTCGCTGAACTCTCACCAGAGCCGCTCGAAACGCGTTCGCCACTGGAACTTTCCAGGGTATCCCCCATCCATGTCACCGGAAAGGGGCACGCCCCAAATTGACTGCAAACTGCAACAACTAACTACTTTCCGAAATTAACCGCAGAAGAAACGTCCACCATGTGGAGCAAAGAAAAAACCCAAAGGAGGTCTGGAGTTCAGGAGTAATATGGTGGCAGAGTGTGAACAATTTACTTTGAATTGCTCTAAATTTTGGGAGAAGATGGGCCAAACACACTGACTTATTCGAAGCCGGAGCTCCGAAGGGTAATCTTGGTATGCTGCAGTGCAGAAGGTTTGCTATGGTATTTTTTGAGTAGTTGTTCAATGCATGCGCATGTGTTAGCGACTCTTGGATTTGTACGGAGTGATCCATTGTGTACATATAACAATTTCCATGGAAAGCAGTTCTTAATAATACAAGTGTAAGATTGTTGTCCTCCAGTGCTCTATCCCCCCCCCCCCCCTCTCTCCCTCTCTCTCTCTCTCTCTCTCTCTCTCTCTCTCGCTCTCGCTCTCTCTCTCTCTCTCTCTCCCTCCCTCCCTCCCTCCCCTCCCTTCCCTCTCTCCCTCTCTCCCTCTCTCCTCTCTCTCTCTCTCTCTCTCTCTCTCTCTCTCTCTCTCTCTCTCTCTCTCTCTCTCTCTCTCTCTCTCTCTCTCTCTCTCTCTCTCTCTCTCTCTCTCTCTCTCTCTCTCTCTCTCTCTCTCTCTCTCTCTCTCTCTCTCTCTGTCTGTCTGTCTGTCTGTCTGTCTGTCTCTCTCTCTCCTCTCTTGACGTTTATAATTTCAGGCCTATCGGGAAGGCGAGAAGTCTGCTGCCGAGCTTAAAAGCAGGTTCAAAGCAGCGTTTTGCTCCTGCTCACTTGAAAGTTTTTGGTAAATTAGCCAATGTTCTCAAGACAGAGGAGAGTGACCATGCTGAAGCCCTGAAGGTCAGTGACAATGGCGTGGCCCTTTAGAAGAACTTTGCACTATTACGTTGCAGTACACATTGCCTATAGGTGATATCAAGAGTACCGTACTGGCAATATATTGGTCGCAGTGAGGCCATGAAGCGTTACATTGGCACATGTTTACCGCACGCAGGGCGTTACATGCAAAGTCGCACAGGAGCCTTTACACAGGTTTCTATATTGCCGCAGTCCTTTTTTTTGCTATCGCAGGACTTCCTGCTGCGTCCAGTTTTGAACTTTTCACCACGCGGTACACGTGCTTTCACAGTTTTCAGCCTTGTTTGCAATGAAAGATCGCCGCACCCCGCCGGACGCGCGTTACGAACGCAACGAAAATTTGTCGCACTAGCCTGGTCGCGCGTTACGCCGCACCCCCCTGCGTTACGCGGCAACATAATATTGCCAGTACGGTATATAACCCCTCCCCCCCCCCCCCCCCCCCCCCCCCAAGAGTGTGCACTTTGCATATGGGTCTCCGACGGCGAAATCTCACATCACGTGTCTCGGGTACGTTTTGTACTATGTACAACTTAGGATAGCGTGCGCGCAATCCGAAAATCTGCCATGACTATGCAGACGAGTTGCAAACGCGCAGTGAGTTTCTGCCAGGGAGTGGTTTTATTATTACTCCGCTGCTCGCTAGAACTGGGCTGGCAACGTACAACTGGGACACTGCACCACGTGATGTGAGTTTTCGCCGTCGGCGAACCCCATAGAAAGGGAATCAGGAGTTGCACACTCTTGGGGGTTATATACTCTTGGAGGGTTATACACTCTGGGGGGGGGGGGGGGGGGGGTTATAATACTCTGGGGGGGGGGGGGGGGAGGGGGAGGGGGAGGTATATACTCTTGGGAGGTTATATAGTATATACTCTGGGGGGGGGGGGGGGGGGGGGGGGGTAATACATGTTACACTCAGTATGGCATCATTATTTGTCGTTACTGTCTCTATATGCCATCACCTGTTTACTTTGGGCATATGGCTTCACTGCGACTTTCTCTATATGACTCCAGGTCATTCTCTGCAAAACTCCAGACGCGACTTTCTCTATCTATCTCCACTCAGGTTAAGACATTCTCTGGATGACTCCAACTCCGGTTTTGTATGGAGAAGTTGGCCATCTGAGTTAGAGTCATACAGAGAAAGTCTCAACCTGAGTGGAGATATATGGGGAAAGTCGCGTCTGGAGTTATAGAGAGAATGACCTAGAGTTATATAGAGAAAGTTGCAGTGAAGCCATATAGGCACGAAGTAAACAGATGATGACATATAGTCTTATAGAGGAGTGAACACATATAGAGAGCTGGTGGACTACTGAGTGCTACATACATTCTTGGGGGGTTATATACCAGGGGCATCGGAAGCAGTTTAACATTGGTGCGGGCAAAGTGTGAGAGGGGGGGGGGGGGGGGGGGGGGTGCGGGGGTCCTCCCCGGGAAAGGTTTTGGAAAATTGGGCCTAAAAGGCCAAATTATGAATTTTAATGCTACAGAATAATAATTATGAGAAATGAGAATATGCATGCTGATGATACACCGCATTGTCGATGTAAAACATGGTACCTGTACAAGAGTCGACAAGCCATCAACAAGGTTTCTACGGAACACTACTTGGCTAACCCCGAAGGCTCGCTTTGGGTAGTCATGCGACCTGGGTTGGAAAGGAGCATCTCCTATTTCGGGGTAACCATCTATCTCTTCGAGTCAGTAAACAATAAACTGCCACCACTGGCACTGTACATGATTTGGCACCTCCACTTTGAAAATTGAAATGTATCATTGTGTTAATTCTGCCCGTGCAAGAGGCCGGTTCCCGTAAAAATAAATAAATAAAAACTTCGAAAATTATTGGTGCGGCTTTGGCCGTGCCTGCCGCACCGGTTCCGACGCCCCTGGATACTCTTGGGAGGTTATACTCCTGGGAGGTTATATACTCTTGGGGGTTTATACACTTTTGGGAGGTTATAATTATACTCTTGGGGGTTTATACACTTTTGGGAGGTTATATACTCTTGGTGATATGTGTGCTCTAAAGCCTGGTTCACATTCCACATAACGCCGACGGTACGGGATGTGGGAGCCTGTTGGGGTGGCTGGGGCGAGCTGTAAAATCTTGTACAATTCTTATGACGTGACATGCAGCAGTTGTTGCAATGTTCAATGTCGAACGGCGTGAGTCATAAGGAACGGTCCGGGTTGACTTTCGGGTCTACGAGACTGTCTTGTTTTCCGGGACGTCTTTCTGTTAGTTCTCCACGAATGAAGCGGAATCATGCCCACAACACCAGTTTGTCACGAAGATCAAAAAAGTAGCCATGAAAGTTGTGCCATTCTAATAATAGGGAGGTTTAGTTCCCACGTAACGGAAAGGCCCAAACCTGGTCAAAGACGAAGCTACCCGGGCCTAAGAAGCTCATCCAATATTTTGATTTCGTGCTTCGGAAACTTCTTCAGCTAAGCACCCTCACAGCTCGCACAATGCGCTCCATTCTGATTTTCACCCACGTTCTGGCGGAACGTGGGTGAGCCTCCATACACGGTATGTCGTGAATCAGAAAACGTCTGTACGTGGGTCACTGAGTATCACGTGGTACACACACGTAAAGTACCCACGGATTACGTGGGACTAAACCTCCCTAATAGCCACATGAAAAGAAAAGTTTGTCCTGGACTATCCCTAAATACAGCAAGCCACATGAAATCTTAGCTTGCTAAAATTCAACTCAGTCGTGTTAGCCATATGGTGAGTTTTTTTTTCATGGGAAGTGTGCCGGTAGTGTTTGAAATGGTAAACATTTTCTAATTTGCAGGTGCACACATCGGGAGGAGTCGGCGCACGACGCTGTCTCCTGTTTATACTCGAAATGCATCAGCACAAGCAAGTCTTCATACTAAGTTCATAGCAAAGAAGACTGGATTGTACCGTCGCTGTGTGCCTCTTTGCGTATCATGAACTGCACTAATGACCTGGAGGAATCCATCATGTCAATGGAAATGTTTGATGTAGCTGTGGATAGCACAAGTTGACACTATCCTGCCCTGACCTCTGTATGTATGTGTGTGTGTGTGTGTGTGTGTGTGTGTGTGTGTGTGTGTGTGTGTGTGTGTGCGCGTGTGCGCGCGTGTGCGTTTGTGTGTGTTCATGTGTACGTGTGTGCATGCGTACATATTTGCATGCGTGTGTACGTGCATGCGTGTGTGCGTGTGTGCGTGTGTGTGTGTGTGTGTGTGTGTGTGTGTGTGCGTGCGTGTGTGCGTGCGTGCGTGTGTATGTGCGTGTGTGTGTGTGTGTGTGTGTGTGTGTGTGTGTGTGTGTGTGTGTGTGTGTGTGTGCGTGTAATAGATGTTCGGAGAAGCTTTGGCGGTGGACCATAATAGTGTAGAGGCACACATTGACTATGGCGAATTCCTCCGTGATCTAGGCAGGTGAGGAGAATGAAACTGCTTGAAGATTCATCAGTGGTGAAAACGAGTGTATTGTAAGCTTTCAAATGAACATTACCATTATTGAGTGAGCTATTGAGAGACAGGTCAGGCAGACAGGCGGGCGGGCGGGCGGACGGACAGACAGACAGACAGATGGTTGGACACACACACACACACACTTACACACACACACACACACACACACACACACACACTTACACACACACACACACACACACACACACACACACACACACACACACACACACACACACACGCAGAGACAGAGACGGACGGACGGACAGACAGACAAGGAGGAAGAGGAGAGAGCTACCATAAAGAACACATTCTTTCTCCCATCAAAGCTCATATTCATTGTTCACTTAACTTCATAGCGCTATAAATGTCAGGCGATGTGTGTCCTCCAGTGCGCGGATAGAGAATGGTCCCCACAGAATGCTGCCCACCACACAGACACAGGCAAACATTGCACTGGAAGACGGCAGCATGTTGCTGGACTGTCTGTAGTAGACTCTGTAAACTGGTATGTACTAGACTGACTAACGAGCTTCTAGCTATTGAGCTAGTATTCCCAACCCCATGCACTGTTCCACCCATACAGTAGGGGTGAAACGAATACGAATATTGACTATCCGAATATTCTTTCTGTTAACGAACGAACGAACGAATATTCGTTGGTTTACGACTGCGAAGCTCTCTACAATGATACAATGATAAGTCCTTCCGTGAAGATTAGCCATTTTGAGAAATGCTCGTTTACTCCCGGGAAATGTTTTTCGGGCCACTTTGGCATGCGAAGGGCGCTGATCTTGTCACTTGTCAATGTCACCTCTTGAGATCGAAAGACAATGGCTACCAAGCGGCGTTCAGGTGGTCGTCGGGCTTCTGCCTGACGATGCTCTTCTGCTCAATACTCACGACAAGGAATTTTATGCTGATGGGATCATGCGAGATGATGCGGCTGAGCTGGGTCGAGATTCAGATGGTCGAACAAGCGATCACTCCGACATCGATGCACTGCCACAGAGCGATGATGAGGAGAATCTCGCTGGGACGCTGAATCGGTGACAGAGACTGCGACCGGCACCAGTACAGCAGCAGGAACGAAGAGAAAGTGAAAGCCCTTCCAGTCAATGACGCCAGAGGATGTAGCAGAGCGCCGTGTGAGAGTATTTTGTATTCATTCGTCGTTACGAATATTTGTTCGGTTGAGCTTATCGAACGAACATTCGAATATTCGGAATATTCGTTTCACCCCTACCATACAGAACACCTACATGTACCCGATCCACTGTTCCACCCGTACGGAACACTTATATGTACATGTACCCGATGCACTGTTCCACCCGTACGGAGCACCCATATGTACAGTCATGTACCCGATTCACTGTTCCGCGCCTAGAACATAGAACATCCGCACAGACCTATTAGCATGCTTGTAGCTTAATATCATGGCGCTGCACCCTCATTCATGTTTGGCCATCACCTTTCGAAATGGAAAGCACTACTGTGTCATGCAAGGTTGGCCAGTATGTAAACTTTCTTTGTGCAGAGTACATTGCGTGTACATGTTATTGTACATGATTGTATGTACTTCAAGTAGACGCTTGGGTAAACGTGCCAATAGGCCTGCAAAGGCTACAGTGCCATGCAGTATTCCATGTGTGGAGCCATGCAAAAGTGCACACCTATGCACGCACTTTCCCAGTCGCCCGTCTTTAGTGTCAAGCTGGCTACAACCTGTTGTTTCTTGTTAGTGTCATTTCCCTTCTTGGGCCTTTGCCCCCCACCCCACCTCTAGGCAAAGTTAATTAGCAGTCGGATAGTGCAACATACTCATGGTGCATGGCTCCATTTTGCAATGAGATATTTGCAGTGCAGGCCAGAGTATTTGTGTTGATGCAGGCTGTTCTCACAGGTACAAGTTTCCGTTTGAGCAGCTTTGGTGAACTTTGTTACGGTGAACTCCTATTGTATGAGCATGCCTCCCCGGTCTCTCCCAGTCTCGCCCAGTCTCTCCCAATCTCTCCTAGTCTGCACCCAATCTGCCCCCAGTCTCCCCTAGTCTCCTCCAGTCTGCCCCAGTCTCTGCGGCGGGCCTGGAATCAGCAGACTGTATTAAAAGGCAGCCTTGCATTGGACAGTGGGACAGTGAGATGGCACCGTGGTCTACGCCACAGCCCTACCCCAAAACACCAACATTGTTTGTGTTCTCCAAGACAAACCAGCCACTCACCAGCAATGGTATGGTGTGGTATTCCTTATTTAAAAGTAGCAGTATTACTTGGTCAAGCGAACGGACAATGCTCATGGTCCAATGCACACGGGTGCAACTCTTCAGCTTGGTAATGACACACCACTTCTCTGCAACAAACACACCGCCCAAAACAAAAACACCAAAAACCTCTCTGCAACCCCATGCCCAGGAAATTAGTGTAGTCATGTTGACACATTCTCGTATGGTTATGTGTTTCAGACTGGAAGATTCAAGGAGAATTCTCCAGAAGGCACGTGCTCTGGACAACACTAATGTAGTCTCTAACTTCAATGTAAGTGCTGCTGCTGCTGCTGCTGCTGCTGCTGCTGCTGCTGCTGCTGCTGCTGCTGCTGCTGCTGCTGCTGCTGCTGCTGCTGCTGCTGCTGCTGCTGCTGTACTGTAAACATGTATTCTTTTATTTCAATTCGCTCAGGGCACAGGCAATACTGCCTTCTCACCAGGGGGAGGATTCTCCGATTCCTACCAAAAACGAGAAATCTGCGATATGCATATGTATGAGAAAGATATGAGAAAAATGAATAATGGTCATGTCGGATTACGATAGTTTAGTTGTTATGCGAGATTTCCCTGACGATTACAGATAAAGCGTTTCTGGAGGCAATGTCCAGAAAGGATGCGAGAACAAAATACAGCGTTCCTGAAGGCAATGGTGCACATAAATAGAGCATAAGGCAATGGTGCAGAAAAGAGGTGAGAACTTACAAACAAGGCAATCGTGCAGAAAAAGAGGGAACTGAAGAACTAGCGGTTCTAGAGGCTACACAAAGAGGTAGGGACAAGCGACTCAATACAGTGTCAGATGGTGCTCTTGAATTCATCCTTTTGTGATATACATCTAACTTCAGCCGGCAGCTTATTCCAGAGAATGGCACCTTGGAAACGGATGGAGGACCGTCAAGCAGGACCCGGAAGGAAGGGGACGCGTAAGAGCCATGTCACCTGTCCGCGAGTGGCCCTTCGGTCATGATCTTCTTGAGAAGGTGCGGTTGGGGTGAAAAAAGACGAAAACAAGTGACTTGCAGGCAACGGAATACAAACATGAGGAGCTTTTGCTGAAACAATCTCTCAATGGTGGACAATGAGAGTCTCTCTCGTAGCGGCTGAGTCGCGATCGGGTTCTGCAGTCGTAGGATTGCTCGAACCCCGGACTTCGCCGATCTCTCGAGCCGAGTGAGACCAGCGGCAGACAGCGAGGGGAAGAAGGCGTTTGCGGCATAGCACAGCTTGGCTTGTATCATGGCAACATACCATATCCAGCGGGCCGTGATGCTAAGTGCATCCCCGTGTCGCCATAGACGACTTACAGCCTTCCCTGTCTGGCTAGCAAGGTGTTGGATGTGGGACCGCCAGCTCAGGTTGTCGTCGAAAATGACACCAAGGTATTTTGCGGATGACACTGTGGCAAGCTCATCTCCATTGCAGCGGACGCGATCGACTGGATCTTGTTGCCCTCGAGGCTTCAAAAACATTACTTGGGTCTTCTTCTTGTTCAGAAGAAGACCAATGTCTCCAAGCCATTCCGCTAGCGCGGTTACTGCGTTCGAGAGGAACTGCACAACAAGTGCTACATTCGCGTGTGAAAATTCTATTACGATGTCGTCAGCAAACTCCTGATGGGCGATAGCGGCTGGTAGGATGTCGCTAATGGCTCTAGTATATAATACGAAGAGGAGGGGGCCAAGGACACTCCCTTGCGGCACGCCTCGGCTGCAAGCTGTTGCGGGCGATAACTCGGCTCCAACCTTTATCTGCCGATGCCGACCGGACAGGTAGCTCACGAGCCACTCCAGAACCTTGCCGTGAAAACCCAGTGAGTGTAGGTCTATGACGAGACGTTCATGTTGGACTCGGTCGAACGCTTTAGACATGTCGACCATAACAACACCCGACAGTTTTTCGCTGGGACTGTGCGTCTTTCCATCTGTCCACCGCTAAAACCAGCGCATCCTCAGTAGAGTGGGCTCGGCGGTAAGCAAACTGCATGCTGGGGAATAGACCTTGGTTGCTCAAGTACCGATCCAGCTGGTCCTTGACGATTTTCTCTAATAAGCGTGAGATGATGGGAAGTAAGGAAATCGGACGATAATTGCTGGCGGCTGTAGGTGATCCCGACTTGAAAAACGGAGATACATACGAGAGTTTAAATGCTGTTGGAACTTCCCCCGTCTGCAAAGAGTGGTTGAATATTGCGCTCAAGGTCGGTGCCAGTGTGCGGGCGGCCATCTTCAGAACCTATCTGGGAACGCCGTCACTACCAGTAGCCTTACTTGGGTCGATGGTCGTTAACAGTTTCACTACTTGCTCTGTGGTTCATGGTTTGAAAGTGAGAAATCCAGGTTCACTGTGGGGACCGTGAGGGACGGAGAGGACGTCAGGACGTCGAGCATCCGTGACGATTTCACCAAACGTCTTGCTGAGATCATCGAGTGATGCCTGTGGCTCTTGATGCGACTTCGACCTGCCAGTGACTTTATCGATGATAGACCAAAGTTTGTGGGAGTGAGGGGAATCGTGCAGCATTTGTTCAAACATGATGTATTCTGGAGTATAGTACATCTCATTAGGGAGGTTTAGCACTACGTAACTCATTAGGGAGGTTTAGCACTACGTAAAAACGTAGCGTATCTGGCCTACTACGTTTCCCGCCAAAATCACAACGCAGGATGTAACGTTTCGAACGTAACAAGCCTGTCACCTGCGTTCTGCCAGAACGCTACGCATCTACACACTCCGAGTTGCAGTTTGCAGTCCGCCATTTTATCCCCATGGATACAGGCGACAACGCTGTGCTAAAACGAATCACAAAAATGTTTCCAACGTAACACTCGTGCCAGATCCGTTACGTTTTTACGTAGTGCTAAACCTCCCTATTTAATAGACACCCTTAGCAAACAACGGTAACGCTATTTGTTACGGTACTCGTACCTTGATCACCCAAATAGCGTTGAAGCTGCAGCATATAAACGTTATGGGGGCTGATTTATCGTTGTTACCAACGGTACGTGTTTTGGCCAAATATTGCATAGTCCGTACGCATTTCACCTTGTATCGCGTATATGGTGACAAAAATGGTTGTACCGCGCGAAATCAAAGCTATTTTCGTGGCAAAGGAGTGGTTCCTCTCCCTCCTTGAGCAGGGTCCAGCGTTTGGGTACTTCGCCGAGCCCTCGAAATCCATCGTGATCATCAAGCCGCATCATGTGGAGGCCGCCAAGACAATCTTCGGCAATCTAAACGTGCAAGTCACCACCTCCGGTCGCTTCCTGGGTAGCTCTCTTCCTTTGTCCGTAGCAGAGTGAGTGATTGGGTCGATGGTGTCAACTGTCTTGCCAAGGCAGCAAAGGCGTACCCGCAGTCAGCACACTCCGCGTTTACGAGATCCCTCTCGTGCGAGTGGACCTACCTCCAGCGTGTGTTGGAAGGCAACGAGACCGAGTATACTCCCCTGCGGGACACTATCCGGCACGTATTCGCCCCCAGCTTGCTAGGTCGTGAGGTGCTTGACGTTGAGCAAGATCTGTTGGCCCTTCCAGCCAAAGTGGGAGGTCTCGGCCTGGCCAATCCCGTTACGTCAGCCCCTGATGCTCATGCCACATCGAAGCGCGCCACTGAGATTCTGCAGGCTGCCATTTGCACCGGTGCACCGGTCGACATGGCTCACCACATCAGCCAGTGCCGTCAAGTCACCAGCGAGGTCAGCCGTGCTCGAGACCTGCAGATGACGGAACGTAGTAAAGTCCTCCGAGCTGCGCTTCCGCGTCGCCAACAGCGGACCCTCAACCGCATCGTTGATGGCAACGCTTCCGGCTGGTTGACCGTGCTTCCTCTCAAGCAGGAAGGTTATGACATGTCGGCGGTCCAGTTCCGCGATCAGTTGGCCATTCGCTATGGCCAGGAGCCGAACGCTCTCCCGTCGCATTGCGATGGCTGTGGAGCTGCTTTCTCTCTACAGCATGGTCTGGATTGCATGAAGGGTGGGCTCATCAAGCGCGGGCACAACGATGTCCGCGACTTCGATGCCCGGCTGGCAGACGTTGCATGGGGAGGTGTGGCTGTCGAGCCGGTGATGGTACCTGTGCAGGATGGCAACAACCGCCCCACACTGCAGGCGGATTGGCTGGTCCGGGGAGTTTGGGAAGGAGACAGGGTGGCGTACTTTGACAACCGCATCGTGGATGCCGACGCACCCAGCTACGTCCGCTCGAACCTCTCTTGGAACGCCGTATCCAACAGTGCTGCCTCTTCCAAGAAGAGAAAGTACAAGGCGGCCGCAGAGGAGCTGCGAGCATCCTTCACCCCGCTGGTCTGCTCAACTGATGGTGCACTGCACACAGAGTACCGTGCGTATCAACGGCGACTTGCTATGCGCCTTGCCTCCAGGTGGGACAAGTCCTACAGCAACGTCATGTCCTGGGTGCGGATCCACCATCAGTTTGCTGTTTTCCGGGCTGTCGACCTTCGTCTCCGGGGTTCACGTCGTCGTCTCGGTGGGCTGGCAATTTGCGATGGTGTCGGCCTTGGCGTTGGCCGTTAACATTCATGCGTATGGCACTTGTTGTTGTTGTGTGTGTGTGTGTGTGTGTGTGTGTGTGTTTGTTTTCTTTCCTTTTCTTTTCAGCTGTCATTTGCCCTGATCATGCCTCATGCGTGTTTCACAGCATAGTACGTTTCCGCTCATTTTCTTCTTCAACACACGCTAGCTGTATTACTTTGAAAAGAAAAAAAAGAAAGAACATATTTTCGTGGCAACAGCGTACTAAAAATAGCGTGCATCTTGCTAAAGGTCGAACCCAAATCAGGGTATTTTCCCCCTTACGATAATACCGTTACAACATAACGTTTTTTGCTAAGGGTCTATTGTGTGCTGTTCTACTGCTGGACACTTTGTACAGTGTTGTACAGTGTTGTACAGTGTTGTACAGTGTTGTGCAGTGTTGTACAGTGTTGTACAGTGTTGTACAGTGTTGTGCAGTGTTGTGCAGTGTTGTACAGTGTTGTACAGTGTTGTACAGTGTTGTACAGTGTTGTGCAGTGTTGTACAGTGTTGTGCAGTGTTGTACAGTGTTGTACAGTGTTGTACAGTGTTGTGCAGTGCTGTACAGTGATGTACAGTGTTGTACAGTGTTGTACAGTGTTGTACAGTGTTGTTTTTGTTTTTTTTTACGTAAAACTGAGCCTCTTGTACGGGCAAAATAACACTTTTTGTGAAGAATCAACACACAAAAAACGAATCATCAGATACAGTATTTACAGAGTCTGTCACTCAGTAGGATCACTGCACTGTGCAGGTTCACTGGATGCGTGCCTCCGCCGCCACTAGCACAGCAGGGGACTCAGGCATGGCAGGAGCAAACATGCTCCTTGAGCCACGCAGGCACATAGCACCACAACGCACCAGGGCAAACCCAAGGCGGCAGCGCAGCAAGGAGATAACCTGCCCGTATGGCTCCTTACTCTTCTCAGCCAGGAGAGAGGCGATGCGCGTGAAAAGAGCATTGGCATGCTTGCCATAGCCACCAGAGGCAGAGAGCACAACGGGCACGAAGGAGGCATGCTCAACTTCACGTACTCGCTCCTCGTACTTCCGGCGCTTTTCCTGTTCATGGCGTCTGTAGCTAGCAGCGAGGGAGGTGGCACGATTCGAAGACGCAAAAGGGTTGAACACCCGTACATCAATAAAGATGCGCTCGAATCGGCCACCCCACACACCACTAGCCGCAACGTCCAGCCGAGCTTGCTCCTCCGTGACAGCTGTGCGATGGCGGAAGGCCTCTCCGGTGACGGGCTGGAGGTGGGGTTCCACTGTCACGTTGTGAGCGACCTGCCTCAGAGCTCTGGCGGTGATGTCCCTCACCTCGTTGTGTCGCAGCGTCGGGAAGCCACCAAACGGGCACGACAGGGCGTGACTCACATTCAGCGGCTTACTGCACACGCAGAGGCTTGGGAGCCGAGGAGGTGTCCAGCCGTACCGGAGGCACAGGCCATCCCGGAAATCTCCCTTGCTGAGTGTGAAACCATGGCGGCTGAGGGGGCGGCAGGTCAGCCAGCTGGATGCACCCTTTTCTGAGGCCAGGTCGAGAACAGGGGCCAGCTCCCGGTGATCCGAGCGAAGAGCGTCAGCCATAGACTTGAACGCGCTCCGCTTCTCGGCCCGAACCGTCGCCTTGACCGTCCGGAGCTGAGTCAGAGAGTCGCGACAGTGTTGTACAGTGTTGTGCAGTGTTGTACAGTGTTGTACAGTGTTGTACAGTGTTGTACAGTGTTGTGCAGTGTTGTACAGTGTTGTACAGTGTTGTGCAGTGTTGTGCAGTGTTGTACAGTGTTGTACAGTGTTGTACAGTGTTGTACAGTGTTGTACAGTGTTGTACAGTGTTGTACAGTGTTGTGCAGTGTTGTACAGTGTTGTACAGTGTTGTGCAGTGTTGTACAGTGTTGTACAGTGTTGTACAGTGTTGTGCAGTGTTGTGCAGTGTTGTGCAGTGTTGTGCAGTGTTGTACAGTGCTGTACAGTGTTGTACAGTGTTGTACAGTGTTGTACAGTGTTGTACAGTGTTGTGCAGTGTTGTACAGTGTTGTACAGTGTTGTGCAGTGTTGTGCAGTGTTGTGCAGTGTTGTGCAGTGTTGTGCAGTGTTGTACAGTGCTGTACAGTGTTGTACAGTGTTGTACAGTGTTGTGCAGTGTTGTGCAGTGTTGTACAGTGTTGTACAGTGTTGTACAGTGTTGTACAGTGTTGTACAGTGTTGTGCAGTGTTGTACAGTGTTGTACAGTGTTGTACAGTGTTGTGCAGTGTTGTACAGTGTTGTACAGTGTTGTACAGTGTTGTACAGTGTTGTACAGTGTTGTACAGTGTTGTACAGTGTTGTACAGTGTTGTACAGTGTTGTACAGTGATGTACAGTGTTGTGCAGTGTTGTGCAGTGTTGTACAGTGTTGTGCAGTGTTGTACAGTGTTGTGCAGTGTTGTACAGTGTTGTACAGTGTTGTACAGTGTTGTACAGTGTTGTACAGTGTTGTACAGTGTTGTACAGTGTTGTACAGTGTTGTACAGTGTTGTACAGTGTTGTGCAGTGTTGTACAGTGTTGTACAGTGTTGTACAGTGTTGTACAGTGTTGTACAGTGTTGTACAGTGTTGTACAGTGTTGTGCAGTGTTGTACAGTGTTGTACAGTGTTGTACAGTGATGTACAGTGTTGTGCAGTGTTGTGCAGTGTTGTACAGTGTTGTACAGTGTTGTACAGTGTTGTACAGTGTTGTACAGTGTTGTACAGTGTTGTGCAGTGTTGTACAGTGTTGTACAGTGTTGTACAGTGTTGTACAGTGTTGTACAGTGTTGTACAGTGTTGTACAGTGTTGTACAGTGTTGTGCAGTGTTGTACAGTGTTGTACAGTGTTGTACAGTGTTGTACAGTGTTGTACAGTGTTGCACAGTGTTGTACAGTGTTGCACAGTGTTGTACAGTGTTGTACAGTGTTGCTCTATGAAATCCGATTGCGTGAGTCAAGTTTGTGCCCTGTGCCAGTTCATATCCACACTGACCCCCTATACGAGTGACGAATCATTTGCATTTCCTGTGCATGTGACTTGCTTGTGTACAGCTTGGTGTTCTCGGTCTGAAGGAAGATAGGCTACAAGATGCCGAGCGATACTTCAAAGAAGTGCTTGAAATCGACCCTGTCCATGCTGTGAGTGACCAGTACTTTCTTTTTCTCCTTTTGCTAAACATTCTTCTTGCCGGCTGCACTGCCGTCTACACCAACAATGCCTCTACTACACTGTGTTTCTAGCCGGGTGGCCGGGTGGTCTCTG